TTTTCTTCTGGCTGTACAACTGCTTCCACTGGTACATTTTCATTTCGAAGCAAGTTGCTTACACTTTCTATTTCTGCACAGTTACCATAAAACCATTCCTTTTCTTCTTCTGTCTGCAGGCCAAACAAATTCCCACATGATTGGCAAGCAGGTTTTATAATCCCTGTACAGAGATCAAAAGCCTCACATCGGACATCAGGAGGTAATGTGATGGTTCCGTCAAAGTAAGGCTTCCTTGTTAAAGCTGGATAGTAGCTCATCACTGCCCCGGCTACTCGAGGATCCCAGTGGTTCAAACAGGAGGCAGCAACCAGGATTTGCTTAGCGCTACCACTAGAAATGAGAGACATAGAGACTCCGTAGTGCCTGACCGAATCAGGGATGTTCATATGGGAGATACAGATTGTAGACGAGAACAAAATCTTTTTTTTGGTATTTTCCCTCAGGCTGTCAATGAGGTTTTGTAGTCTCTCTTTTATTTCATCTTCATTCTCTTGTCCGATCAGTTTGACGATCTGCAAAAAATCACAAATATATCTTATTGCAATAGTTGAATGATTCTAGATCATACCAAATAAGATTTAGTTGTTGTTTTAAAAAAAAATCATTGGGTAAGACTGGGGCTAAAATAATTAAATAAAAAAAAGAAAGAAAGGATGCTTTAAAAACATTTTATTAATATATTAATATCTGTTTTCCTGCACCACAGTGAATATATTTTTTGGTCATATAGAACATTAAACTGTAGATGAATAGTACAAAAAGGTAGTACAAACCTGCCTACAGTAGACTCCTTTAACATGTGATATAGCTCTGTCTTCCTTTCTGTTTAGCTTTTTAAGCATAATGAAACACAGGCCTTACAGATTTTTGTTCCTTGTACAATATTACTTAACTGTGGGCCGTGTAAACTTCATAATTTGAACCGGACAAAAAAAAATACTTGTCAACATTCGCTAAGTTCATCAGGATGTGGTCTATATCTAATGCTTCCTGATCAGAATACGGAAATAAAGAAGATCCTCTTAAAGATGTCAGAAGAAAACCACTCAGATTTGCATTGTTCTTAGCACTGATGTTGTAAACAGAAGTCTTGCTACAGGACTGTTATTAACAAGTTTGATTTTCTTCAAAATTTTTATACCACCATAGGAAAAGTTAGGTGAACAACATCTATTAATGACCCATTTCAGATAATTCAGGCTAAAGCAGAATGTATGTGCAACTTTCCAAGAAAAATGTTAGTGCCTTGTCATATATATTCCAACCTTACCATATCCAGGACACAGGAAAAGGGGCTCCGCCTGGGTAGCTGAGTTTTATAGAGTTGGAAAGGCTGTGGGTGACGATCCTCCAGGTGCACGTATATCTCATCATCATTGTCCAAAAGGTCATTCAGGGAAAGTTTGGGATGGTTGATCCATCCCAAAAAGAAGATGCTGTGGAGAATCTGCGTAGTACAAATGCACACATTTAAAAAAAAAATAAGAAGCATCACATGTTCCTGCTGAAATCAACGTCATCAGCCATGTTTCAGATTTACCTCGTCCACTAAGTCAGAAGTGTCTTCTTGGGTCTGGTTGCTCAGTTCGATCATTTCAGTAATTATTAGGAAAGCGTTCCTTTGGAAAACATCGTTTTCGTCTTGCAGTAATTCCTCTCTAAATGATGAACAGCAGTTATTTTTGGAGAACTATGAAGCAGACGTTCGTGTTTCATTTGACGGGTTTACTCACTCGATCTGTTGGGTAGCCTGAAAGAATTCAAATTCATTTGTCATTAATCCTTAGAGTGTTGAAGACGATGATAACATTAACAATGCAGAATTAGTCAAGATGATTTAGAGGATGCTGGTTAAGAGAACAAGATAAAAGCTGAGACTCACCATTGTGATTTCCAGGTAAATGAAACTGAGACTCAAACCGAGCCCTTCCCTTACTCAGAGTGCCTCTCCCAGGCTGGTTTTCCTCACTGAACCGGTGTTGTTGACTAGTAATAAAGAATGTCTGGTAGTTGCCTTCTGATATAAACACTTATCACAAAAAAGCAGTATAAGAGATGTAGACGACACCACTAGTTAGTTTGTCCAAACGGAGCAGGAAGCCTTGACTGACGACTTTTGAAAGGCGGGGAAACTAAGATTTCCTTGTTGGGACCCGGCAAGCTCCAGCCTCCAAAACGTCAGATGGGAGGGGCTGTCCTACCATAAATTGCTCAATCCAAATACACGGTGACATCATTAAAAAAGTATTTTAGCATTTTATGATGAATGCAAACTATAGCGACTTTACACTGGCCAGAGAACCATTTTACCCTTTTAGATTGTTGATGTGACAGGAAGTTTAAATAAGAAATCATGGAAAAGTTCATCGTCGCCTGATCCTTTACGTCAGCCATTTTATAATATTAGATACAGATGCTTTATTAATCTTGGGGGAAATTCAAGCTGGAAAAGCAGCAAGTGTCAGGCTAACTAAAACTAGGAAAAATTTAACTAACTGCAGTGATGACTGGGCAGTTTAACCCTTATTTGAGTTTATAAAAGTGTCTGCAAACACCTCCTCCACTTAAGAGTCACTCTTTCCAACCAAAAGCATAGTTAAAAATCCATTCACAACACAACCGGTAGAAATGTTTTTTTAATTTATTTATTAGATCACACAGCCATTCAAAAACAACATTTGTTCAGTTTTACAAACCATATTCAAACGCGTCACGCACACGCACAACTGTGGAACAGAGTCTTAGCTGTAAAGAGTCTTTTTAAAAAAACAGGGTTGTGGAACCCTGTTTTCCAGCTTTATAGAGTTCCCCTGTCCCCCGTTTCTGTGGGGACTCTCTGGGTACTCCGGCTTCCTCCCACCGGCTAAAAACATGCTTGACTGGACACTCAATAGAACACAAGTTATTAACAGCAGGTTTGTTTTGTTATTAACAAAACAAACCATAAAAATAAGTAGTTTCTTTTGCTGCAGTTTATACATGTCGACGTGTTTCTTTAAAGACAGGTTAGCACACATAAGGCTAACATCCATCCATCCATCCATCCATCCATCCATCCATCCATCCATCCATCCATCCATCCATTCTCCTCCGCTTATCCGGGGTCGGGTCGCGGGGGCAGCAGCCGAAGCAGGGAAATCCAGACTTCCCTCTCCCCGGCCACTTCGGCCAGCTCCTCCGGGGGGATCCCGAGGCGTTCCCAGGCCAGCCGGGACACATAGTCCCTCCAGCGGGTCCTGGGTCTTCCTCTGGTCCTCCCCTTGGGTCCTGGGTCTTCCTCTGGGCCTTCTCCCGGTGGGACGAGCCCGG